TTAGACACTGCTATTTTCATCATACATTTGGAGAAATTAAGTTCAGAGGGGGTCAAGATACATGTATGAAGTCACAAATGTTGGGGTGCTTTTTACAGAAACAATTGAAGGGCAGCTAAACATGGTATGAGGCCTGGGCATTCTATGGGATCTCTGGTAGTGGATCAGTATTTATCCCTAGTATACAAATGGACTTTGGAAACACATTCCACATGGAAGGATACTCTCTCAGTCTAGACACATGGGGGGGGGGGGCTAGGCCCTCTCCAAATGATGACAGACTTTGGATATCCCACATGAAAGACCTCACCCTCCCTGGGAAGCAGAAAGGGGATGGGATAGGGAGCTGGTGGGGGGCAGGGGAGGAGGGGAGGGAGAGGGACCTGGGAATGACATATAAAACAAGATTGTTTCTAATTTAAATAAAAAGGAGAGGAGAAAAAAAAGAACTTTTTCTAAAGAATTAAGCTCTGTGAGTCCTGAGTCTTAATGTGTTTTGCCTCTGTGAGCCAGTGAGAGATATTCAAGCGTTGACCAACACTTCTAAAAGTTCAAAAGAACAATGGAATAATTCATCAGAAAAAGGAAACAAAAGACTTTCCACTTAAGGAGATGGGCTGCAAATGCCCCCACCAAGAATTTGCAGAACCTCCAGGGAGAAAATTTCATTGCTTGTATACCTTTTAATTCTATAAAAGACAAAATATCAGACTTCTCTATGAAACACAACATGAACACCTGTGGGTTGTCTAACTGCTCCCATTTCTATTTGATTTAAAGAAAAACTCACAGATGGACTTTCTAGTAGTACAAATGACAATTCTGGCTCATAAACTACTTTGGATCTAGCCGGGAACTGAGTACTCAGAGGTTTGATACCAGTGTGTTCTAAAACCAAAAATAATAAACTGAGCCAACGAAAGTGAAGTGGAAGTTCCCCTTCCAACGTCTCATCTCCAGTATATCAGCAAAGCTACAGATCCCAAAGAACAGCCATTTCCAGTGATCCAATCTGCCGAAGTTTAGAGGATGAGACTCCTGGTCAGTGTGGGAGTGCTGAAACTCTTTCCTATGCAAACTTTACATGGTTTCTGCAATTCTTTGGGGAAAATATTTAGCATTTCAAAATTGCAGCATCCTTCACTGTAACACATGGTTTCAGTTGCCATAGAAATAAGATATGTGTTTACATATATTAGCATATGACTCCCATATAATAATCAAGTTCAAATGTTTCTCTAATATAAGGGGATATTCAACACACTAAGTAATACGCCCTGTCTACTTTTCAGTCTTTTATATACAAAGGTAAATTTTGTATTTATTAATTATAATAATAAAAACAAAATCTGTATTATTCTTGAAAAGCAGAGGTCCCTATCTTAATTGAATTGGTCTTTTAAGGTTGGGAAATAATAGTAAAAGTCAATTAGAGGAAACTGCTGATTTTGTGTACACACTCAATAATTCCTCAATCTATGCTCACCCTGCTTCACTAGCTAATGCTTAGACACCTGTGCTTATGAGTTCCTACTTGGTAATAACCTGGCTGTCACAACATCTCTGAGTCAAAGGACTCCTTAAATTTAACTCAATTTCTTTCCTCCAATCTCATTCTCTTTTTTTCATAACCTAGTCTGAGGTATCAAGGTCATAGTAGACCAAATTTTTCAGAAAAGGAAATTTAAAATCATAATGGTGTGTTCCCATCCACAGCAAATATTTATTGTTCTATCATAACCAGAAACCAAGAGCCTTGCCTCCTGATTTTCTCAAAGGTGGTCAGAAAAGCTGAAGGAAAAAAGCTATAAAGAAAGTAACCTTAATGAGTGACCACAAACTGACCATATAAAGGGAAGCACATTTCATCTGTATGAGAAATAAAATGCAGCCAGTGTGGTTGCATCACCAAGCACTGACAACAAGATGAACTAAGATGAAATTGAAGAGATTTAGAGAGTCACAGTCTCATAAAATAATAAAGAAAAGGAATCAAAATTCCTCTTAAGTCTTCAGGAAAATAAAATGGGGGTCAAAGTATGGAGCCCTGTGATCTGAATTATTTTATCAAAATAATACTGTAGCTATACTGTGGAGAAAAAAACAAGAGTAAAAGTAAGAATTGCAGGCCACAGGCAACACTGCATAGACTAGCCTTATAGTGCTTGAGCAACAGAGGTTCTTTCCTTTTCTCCTTCTGTGAAGAACTTAATTCCACAATTTCAATATATCTTATTTTGATCTTCCTAAAGATACATGTCCTGTTTCTGAGTATATATACTTCTAATCTGTCCTGAGCTGCTTGTCTCACAATGTAAGGCACTCTTCTTTCAGCAGTCCAATTTCTGTATATCACTTTTGATTGAACTGTAAAGATGCTCATAAATAGGGAAATGTGTAACAAAAAGACCCAAGAGCAATTTCAAAGACATCTTACCAGATCCCACCTGACTTAGAGAACTGTATTCACTGGGGATTATGAATCAATATCTTTAGTATGTTCTCCAATAGTTGTAAATATTCTGCTCTCATGTTTCCACGTTATCCTCAGAATCTCTTCCCCTAACAGCTGTAATGAACATACACTCCATCTTATCTGATACTATGCATTCCATCATACATTGCATTGTCTCCAGAGGTGGGTGATCAAAACATGAAACAGGTGAATGGAAGACAACAAAATAGATACTTTGGGCTATAATTGGGAAGAATAAACAGTGTTGAAGAAGGTAGCAAGGATTATTTTACAGCTACTATAGGGCATGCAAAATTACACTGTGGTGAATGAATGCATCAATAAGTTGATGAATGAATGAATGAATGAATGAATGAATGAATGAATGATGCACACAAACCATTATGCACGGACAGGTAGAGCAAAGCTGCACTCATTTTCATGTATGTGTATGCCAATCTCATAAAGTTGTGATTGCTTTATTTCCAAATAAGGAAGGACCACTTTAGATAAGATTGCTTTTAAGGCAACATGTTCCAAATGAAAAAGAATTCCATGAGTTTGGAAAGACATTTTATTTCCAAGCTTCTGTGAGGGTTCTACAACATTAAGAGCCTTAAAGTAAAAAAGAAAAGCAAGTCTTTTCAACTATTGGAAAGTAGACAATCCTGAAAACAAAACAAAAAAAACCCCAAAAAATCCTTGACATAAAAATGTGAAAATTTTGCTGTCAACTCTATTCTGACTACATTCCTATATTAGTAAAATGGATCATTGTTGGGGTGGGGTTACTTGCAGCTGAGAAAGTGATGTTCGTTTTCCTTTTGAGTTATTCAGTCATTTCAAATTCAATTGGAGATCTTCACAAACCTAGGAAAATATTCTTTGGATTACAAAGTATATCTAAAAAATTAACGCAACCAGCAATTATACAATTACACACTCCTTCCTGGGATAAAAGTCTCCAATGTGGCAGTGTCCACTGAGTTTATCCCATTGAATTATTCAACTGATTTGATTTCAATGCAAAGTAAACTAGGAGTGAGCACATCATAAATATCATTTCTTTTTCTATGCATTTTGACTGAGTCATAAAAATAGTATATACCAGGGTGTCATGAACTAATCACAATAAAGTTAAAAAAAAGATAATCAAAATTCACAATCCAAGAAAAAAAAAAAAAGCATGTGCCCTGTGTTTCAAAAAAGGAGGAGAAGCATTTGCAGTGAGATTCTGTGTGTTGTCTCCCCAAGTATTGCTTTTTGTCTGGACCTTTGGTCCACTGTACAAGTGAAATGTCCTTCACAGAAGTTCCAATCCCCAGGAAACTAGGTGACTGCAGATGACTGAGATGTAAGCACAGATCAAATGACATCAACCTTCAATGTTCAACTTGGTCCCTGATCTCATTGTGAGCACATGGCCCAAAACATCTAAAATAAAGGTCTCTAAGTGAATTGCCCTTTCTTTCAAGAAGACTTGAAATTTTCTATTATTTTAAGACAAAATAAAATTACAGGAGGAAAAATGAGCACTTTCAATTGCCAGTAATCATACTTTATACTACTAAATTTTACATTAAAAAGCCAGAGTAGTGTGTGTTTTGATTATTTTCTCCTCCAACTCTACAATCTCGGGGTGGGGTATCAAGTCTATATCTAGAACATCGAGAGGTCTGACAATTCTTATGAATTTTGTCTCTCATAACTATGAGTTCACAGGTTAAATGCATATTATATAACATATTGTAAAATCATAGGCTAATCATAGGCTAGTCTAGATCCCTAACATCCTTCAGAAGTTATTCTTGAGGAAAAGCCAGGATGTAAAACCAGAACGTACAAAAAATAATTTACATGAAGTTACAGAATCTTATCTTAAAAAACTCAAACATATTTGATTTAAATAAACAAATAGAGCAGCAGACTATAACAGATCATAAATAGGGTTATTAAAAGATCACAATTAAATTAGAAATATAAATGGATCATTAGAAACCCTTATTTTTCAATGTTAAGAATCAAAACCAGAATTAAAAAAGAATCTTTTTTTATTTCAAAGGTTGCTTCTTATATTGAAGCTCATATTAAAGCAACAGTACAATGTTCATAAAATATAAGTGTGATGCTGTAACATTTCCGTACATGTCAGAATACTGATATTTGTATGTATACTAAAATAAGAACTTTAAAATTGTACAAATAGATACATTAAAAATGACATAGAAATAGGGTGCTCCTCACTGAAACAAGACAGTTATATCTGGCACGTATTAGTTTAGGATGAAAGTAGAAGCAAAAAGATTTACAAGAATCAGCAGTAACAAGATTGATGCTCAAGAGACATAATTGTACATTGTATTGTACATACATTGTATGGGTTTAAGCTGGCTGGATATTATATATTTCAAGTTTAAAAATGCACTACAGATAGAGTGTCCATAGTTTAAGGCGAAATTACAGCTCAGAACTGTTGTCCTTTCTAATTTTGTGGAAGCTTCTTTGACAAATTAAAAAATAAAGTAAGAGAGACTTAGATGTTCATAACATATAGATGATTTCCCTTCATTGTAAGTTCACTGTAGACTTTTCCTTCATTTAAATATTTTGTGTGCCAAGTGGTTTTTCTCTAATGAAGTTGGTATACAACTTCCATATTTGCTTTTTAGTGGGAAAAGGTACTTCACAGTATTTACCACTTTGATGTCCTTGCAGTTATATTAAATGTTTCCTCTCTGTAAAACTCTGCTTGTTTTAAATGAGCCTTTCCTTGTTTTAAAAAAATACCTGTTTACACATCTTCTAGATTCTTGAGAATGCCAGACACAGTTCTTAAGGCCAAATTTGTATCATTATTGTTAAGAGTCATCATCAAAAGTGTCTTTGGAGCCATACAAGTCTGCTAGTTTCTTAAAGCGAGGTCCCCAGTTCTGGAGATAGTCGTAGTCCAGGTCTGAATCTGTAGTGGCAGACTCTAAGGAGCTCAGGGACCCTGCCACAGAACCCCTGCCCTCATAACCATAGATTTGGATGGAGTCATAGGGAGGGGCCGTGGGGTCATTATCTGCTTCCTGTATTCTTGTGTTGATGAAGTCATCTACATCCACACTGTTGGGTGCTGGTCGAAGCCCAGGTCTAGGCATGTATTGATATTCAGGTTTGATGTCTTTTCGAGGGATAAATCCATTGATACCATCAGGATTCTGGAGGGTAGCGATGTCAAAGGCTTCTGTGTCTTCTTCACCACCCCCTTCATCATCATAGGTTATGATGTTCTCACGGACATCCTCTTCTTCAAACACAATGAGTGGTTCTTTCTTTTGCCTCCTCAGAGTCACAAACAATACAACAATGACTGTAGGAAAAGAAACAGAAAGTCAGCAAAGATTAAGCCCAACCTCCCTGGTTACTCTTCCCAAAGGGGCTCTGCTTCAAAACCTGGAATGGGGATAAGATGATCTCTTTTCCAGAAGTCACCAAGAACTCCACTTGGTCAGGACAGTCTGACATGAGAGTATCATGCCCTGTGATCTGACAGATTGGAATTATCTTGAATGTTTCACAAATGAATCCCATTGCTATTTGGCTGTCCTCTTAAGAAGCAGTGATGACTACTGATTCCTGAAAATGGATGGAACTGGCTTCTCCAATTTTTCCTAATTTGTTTCCTAACAAGTTTTCTCTGAACTTAAGAATGCTCAGACAACCCAGAACTTAACATTCTGAGGCAAAAATAGGCTCCTGCCCAAAGGCCTTAATCTATAATACAAAAGGAAACCTTATCATAAAGGGTGGGGGAGAGGACAACTATAAAAACTCTCAAGAGAAAAATATACCACCTATTTGAACATAAAAAGTAGAGTGTCATTTAAAAGCACAGGTGACATAATCCAGTTTATTCTGGGAGAGGTATTCCATTAGGCTTGGGCACTTACTAGCCAGAGCAAGCAATCATTTATAAGAAACACTAGACTCTTCTTACTTCTTTTACTTACTCTCTTTTACTTCCTGCCCACCCCTATCTGGAGGCTCGAACAAACTTTTTTGTAGACCCTTGCACATGCTCAGCAAACTGAAAACAAGTTTTGTAGCTGTATTTGGCAAATGGGGTGAGAGCTTATTTGAGGTCACATCTGAGATTCAGGAATGAGAAACCACACTCAGATTTCACAAGGTCTCCCGAACCCTGTGACTTGCTATAGTATATTTATTATCCCAAAGCATTTCACAATTATTTCTATATTTACTTATTCGTTTGTTTCTTTGTTTTGCTTTGGCAAACTAGTGGGTTTGTTGTTACACTTATTTGTTGGTGTTTGTTTTTGTCATTCATTTAGGGAACATTTCTTGTCATCCCATACCAGATAACAGAGAGGTCTATTGGCTTCAGCACCATGACATGACAACATTGATTATTGTATTTTGGTTTATGCATCTATCTCAGCTCAGTATTAATTTCTGAGAGAGCCTTTTATCTTTTTGGAACACCCATGCAGTCCAGCCTCTTTCATTAGCTATAAAACTCAGCTTCCAGAATTTATGTGTCTCCTCTAGGATTATGTGTCTGGCATTCTTGGGCAATGATAGACATTCTCTAACCTATATCTGTATTACCTCATGTCCCAATCACAGAATCTACTGTGTGCCTCTATTTGATTGTGAATTATTTCCTTTATAAACTGTGAATTCATCCAACATAAAGACAATCTCTTAGGGTTTCCCATAGGGTCTGACTCTCAGATAACACCTACTAATTGTTGAACCAACTTTCCTGCCAATTTTCTACGGGGATGGTGGTATTAATTCATTCACTGAAAAAAATGTATGTTTGCTGTCAGAGTACTTGGCCTTGAAGTTTTATGGTAATACTTACTGGTTCTGAAATGTTAAGACATTAGTAGATTAGGAGGGCTACCTCACCAGCAACTACATGAGAAGTTCACAGGTATCACCATAAACTGAGGCATGCACATAGATGTTGCAGATAACTAGAAAGTCACAGCTCAGCTTTCGCTGGCTGTTTTCTCTTCTTCCTTCAGTGATCCATTGCAGCAATGATTACTCTTTTTGCTCTATTGTCACTAGTCTTTCTCTAACCAATTTTATTGTTTGTTTGTATAGAGAAGACCTCCCTGAGAATAACAGGTTTCTGCCTAAATATTTCAGCTACAAAATTGTCTCCCATGTCCCTCTAGGTTACAGATGGAATCTTCCATACAGTCTTATCATACAAAGTAAAATAGTCATCTTGACCATCCTTAGACTCTTCCTGCAAAATTTGTGCATTCCATGCTTACCCATTTTGCAACAGAATTCATGAGAGCTGCCACACCTTGTGGTTTATTTTATACTATGTGAATGTACACAGTACAGTACTTGTAACCACCTTGTCCTGGATAAATCATTTGAAGGATGTTCCTTGGTTGTACCATATAACAGATAAATCCTTACCCAAGAGAATGACAATGCAGGCAAGGATGGCGATAAGTGCCCCAGTGCTCAGGCCAGCATTCAGGATGTAGGCCTCAGCATTACAGGAGAGCAGTGCCCCATTCACATCACACCCACAGACTTTGATAGTGAGGGTATTGGTGCTACTCATGGGTGGGATGCCACCATCGCTGATCACAATGGGCAGGAGGTAAAAGTCCTGCTTCTGTCGACTGAAACCTCCGCGCCGGGCGTATATCCCTGCAGTGTTATCTATATGAAGAAGAGAGACAGTGTGTTTTCATCACAGGACCATACCAATCACAGTTGCTTGCCACTTTCCAGCATTGAAGACATGTTTTGTGTTGCCAAAGCCAAAGTTAGAGCCTTTCTTGCTTGTTAATTCATCTAGATATTTGCATAGGCCATGGGCATATCATAATAGTATGACGGAATGGAGAAATTGGCTTTTCAAGGTTTATATTTTGGCAGCTTGTGTTTGTATTTTCTAAAGAAATTCCACATCCTTCCACACTCAAATCACAAACCTGCTCATAAATCGCACAAAAATTTCTTCAGGAAAGTGGAAATACTTGATTAACTGTGGAGCTCATTCTTGTTTCTTTGAAACTCAAATAAGCCTCAGCAACCAAGTCCTTAAGCATGTCACCCGATCCCGATTTGATTCAACAGTTCTCTCAGTCACCTACATTACACAGCCTAAGCCTGCAAAGCAGAATATTGTGTTTTCTTTACCTAGACTTAAGCATGTTTTCCCAGTTGACATATCCTGCCATCCCAAATGACCAAGTTCAGCCCAACATGGGGAACTCACTTGTGTTCCAAGCACTCACGGCTTTGAATCTGCCTTGTCTTTCCTTCCAGTGTTTTCTCACATCAAATAGCTATTTTCTATAATGAAAATCGAACTTCTCCTGGCTCAAAAATACACCTCAAAGTCATCCCTTAAGGATACTCTCTGAACTTTTCCAATACCCCTGTCTATTGTGAATCTTCATACTCTATATACATATTCTACACATCGCTCAGGATTTGTTGACATAACCACTTTGATCTCATTGAGACTGGGGATTTCCAGAGAGTGGGGGAATTTATCTGATTCATTTCAGCCTCTTTACTGTCAGATGCACAGCAGTCATTTAATAAATATTTGCTGAGCAAAACATGTAAGTCGGTTCTGGGAAAAGTTTAACCAAAACTCTAGATGTTGGCTTTCATATTTCTCCATGTTTTATAACCTTAATTCTCCAATGCTTCCACATCATGTTTGCTCTACAGGCAAAGATCCAATATAGGATGTATTTCTTATTAGGAAAAAACATTGTTTTGGTTTTCAAAGGAGTATAAATTTAATGTTCTCCATCAAATTTCATGTGACAACCTGATCTGCTGGTATGGTCTGGCAATTTGTAGGTTAAAAAGCAATAATTTATAGCAAAGTGAGTGCTATGGCCAAGAGCAAAGCTGCCTAGCTGGCAAGCTTAAACTAGGTTGACAGGGTCATAAATTTCTTCCTATAGTAGGAAAAAGTATATCCAAGAATCTTGAAATAAAATTGATGGGTTTAGGTAAAAAAAAAATGTAATTTATTTTACTTGGTCGGTCTGTTTGGTAGATCCGGTCTCATATTAGGTTGAGCATACAAGTCTGAGTAGTCC